CTTGGATTTTCACCCTACCTTTGTTAGAGTACTTGTGTCTCAATCATAACCAATTTCAAGGTCAAATAAATCAATTCCAGCAGAACTCACTCATACAACTAGATTTGTCAAACAATAAACTCCAGGGCTCAATTCCTAACTCAATTGCTAATTTAGTAAATCTTAGTTATCTCAACTTATCATCAAATCATTTTAGTGATTTAGTAGAAGTTGACATGTTCTCGGCGCTTCAAAATCTGGAAACCATCTTTCTTTCATACAATAATCTGTCCTTGAGAATGAATGTCAATGCCAACTTGACATTACCCAAACTAACTGATGTTTCCTTTTCTTCTTGTAACTTGAGTGAATTCCCCAATTTCATAAGACATTCAAATGGTCTACAAAGCCTAATGCTATCCAAAAATAGCATTCATGGAAATATTCCTGAATGGATATGTGACAAGGATGATCTCGAAATTCTTGACCTTTCTCATAACAATTTAAGCAGGAAGATTCCAAATTGTCTTCCTAAGTCTCTCTCGGTGTTGAATTTGCAGGCCAATTACTTTGATGGAAATGTACCATTTGCGTTTCCAAAGGGCTGTGGATTACGAAATCTTAACTTACATGGAAACCAAATGGACGGCTTATTACCAAGGTCTTTGGTGAATTGTCGCATGTTAGAGGTTCTAGACGTTGGCAACAACAACATAGAGGACACATTCCCTCATTGGTTGGAATCTCTACCAGACCTTCAAGTGCTTGTCTTAAGGTCCAACAAGTTCCACGGTTTTGTGCAGAGCACCAAAGAAAGTCCATCTTTTCCCAAGTTACGAGTTTTGGACCTCTCCAGCAATGATTTTCTTGGTCCTTTGCCTCTTCGGTACATGGAAAATTTTAAAGCGATGATGGACCCTCATGGAGAGGATGGTTCCCCTGAATACATGAATGTGTGGACGGGAGCCAATTCTTATCTATATTCATTGGTTGTGACATGGAAGGGATTCGACTATGAGCTGCAGAGAATCTTGACCATATTTAGTAGTATTCATCTCTCAAATAACATGTTTAAGGGAGAAATTCCAAATGTTATTGGAAAGCTTAGTTCTCTCAAAGGGCTTAATCTTTCCCATAACAGCCTTACTGGTCAGATCCCACCGTCACTAGGGAATTTGACGAATCTGGAATGGTTGGATCTCTCTTCCAACGAGCTGGCGGGGAAAATTCCTGATGAATTGGTATCTTTGACGCAACTCTCTGTATTGAATCTTTCAAATAATCATCTCGTTGAACGCATACCACAGGGTAGTCAGTTCAACACCTTTGGAAATGGTTCTTATGAAGGAA